CAATTTAACATTCAATAGTATGTTATATTAATCTTATTGTCCAAGTGCCAAATTAAACTGATTACTAATTGAAAAAGATGGAGGAAGAATTAATTTAACAGTAACAACCTTTTTTGTGTGTGCATAAACTATGCAAAAAATACCGAGTCATCTTGGACGTTTTACAAATTCAGAAGAAATTTGTGGCTATTGTAATGTAAAGCATAATGGGTTCAGGCTCTGTTATTTATGGTTGCATATTGCGCTTTTTTTAAAAGAAAATTGCAAGTCGAACACAAACACTAAAGGTTGACAACCTTCATATAGGGATAGTGTCGTGTTGGACATTATGACTCAAAATTAAACATTTGTATGTTGGATATTTTACTTCCTAGAAACACGTTGAATTTTAGTTAACCAATGTTTTTTATAAACTTTTAAAAATCTCTAACACTTCCAAACTTTCTTGAGTTCCAAGGGGTTCTAAATATTTATCTAAACTCTATTTAATTTGATTAAGTAAATGGGGCCTAACTACACAAGCTGGCAAATGGCTTCTGCAAGGAATGGTTTAAGTTTAAGAAAGATCACCAGATAATATCATACAGGTCACGAAGTACATTTGGAACCTGTAAGAGATCCCCAAGACAATAGAGACCAGACCCATCATCCTGAAAAAAACACACACAAAAAACAAAAAAAAAAAACCTCTGATAACAACAGAAGATGCAAAAGCAATGGAGAATATATTCCGACTGAAAAGTCTGACATTAGGAACGGGAAGTCTACCATAGTACAATTGATCTAAACAAAATATCCTTGTGCAGACTACTGAATGAGAATGGAATACATCTCTTTACATTAACCTCGTCAACTAAGAAATGTTTTGGCAGTCTACACTGAAACTCGGTTTGTTGGATCCTTTTGCACTGCCTCAGAGGTGGTCATTATTATCAAACCCTCTATACGAAATTTGAATTTTGAGTACTATGTAGTAGCCACCTGACTGAACCTTCTGAAGTCGAGTCTGGTGTGATACAGGAACACATTATACAACTGATTCTCTTCACATGGTTAAGCTATAAACCCCTTAAAGAGAAAAGGTAAACAATACAATTTGGAACACGCTGATGACATAAGAGGGCCACTAAAACACAAAGAGATTCGCTAACAAAGTCATAACATAGACCACAAAGTGAATGTCAGGGAAATCAAAGTCACGAGAAAAATCGTTTGAGTTGAGAACAGTATACTGAAATATGTGACAAGAGTAGACCAGGACATGTGGGAACTCGTGGCGCGCCTCCCTAGTAGTTGGTCCGTCGAAAATCGACCATTACCATTTAAAACATAGGATTCTTGGTGAGTCTGAATCTGTCTGTGGGAGTGCAGATGGATGACCAAGCCTATTCTGTCACGAAATTACGAAATTTTCTGGCACAGAAGGTGCAGGGGATTGATGGGACAGCTTCAGATATAAAGTTTTCTGGCTTGTCTTCTTTGTGTTCTGCAGCAGCTGTTCTGTTAGCCTCATGTTGTATTGAGCCCTTGTATATGGGGGATCGCCACGAATCCTTTGATGCTCTGATCAATGTCAAATGCTTTTAAAGAGGCTTTCATTGTGTTTTTTTAAAATTCAAGCGGTCGTCTTGACATTCTCACAACATGGCCCGTATTAATATTATTAACTATAAGAGGTTAACCGGGTGCAGTTTTTTTTACACCGCGTCCGGGTATTTTGAGAAATTGCCCGGTGGGTCCAAGTGTTTAAAAAAAAAAAAAGACGTAAATTCTCATTTTCTATACTATATGCCAGTCTTTAAACAATAGACCTACCAAGAGTCCTACACCCTACCCCCGACCTTTAAACAATAGGCCTACAGATAATCCCAAATCCTACCTACCGGCCATTAAACAATAGTCCTACTGACATTCCTACACCATACCCGTGGCTCTTTATTGGTTAATATGATAGTCGCCTCTCTCGGTAGAAAAAAACATTTATCTGAGTTCAACCGTCACACAAGACGCGCGCTGCATGAGTGACAGCCTTTTCCCCCTCAGTACAATACTACAATTGATATAAAACATGTGAAGTTGGAGGAAGGGAGGTTTTGAACAGGAAACAGGACACACCAGAAGCAAAATATATATAAGTGATGATAGGGTGTGTAAACTGGAGACCTCAGCAGAGCCGTTCTTATGATTTTGGGGGCCCTAGGCATGGAGTGTAGGTAGGAGGCCCCGGAAAATGTGTACTTCTGAAATATAATAATATGGACTTGCAAGTTGTAGGCTAAAAATAAAGCGGTCGCCTAGATTGCCTATGCCTGAGAACGGCTCTGACGTCAGTGCCGGGATCTTGTCCTGCCATTTGATGTTTAGGATTTTTCGGAGCTCATCGTGTGAAAGTTGTTTAGTTTCCTAGCATGGCGTTGGCAGACTGTCCATGTTTCACGTGCAAATACTAGCGTTAGCACAGCAGCCTTGTAAACCTTTATTTAAGTGTGGGTGCTTTTGCCTCTCCTTGTCCATACATTTTTAGAGATTTTCTCGAATGTTGCGCTGGCTCTTGCAATTCCAAGGTTCACCTCATATCAATGATTACGATTTTGGACAGTGTGCTGCCAAGGTAAGAGAAGCTGTTTACAATGTTAAGCCTTCCGCCACTGACTTGGATGTTGGGCTTTATATAAGGTTTTCGAAGGGAGCTGGTTGATAAGTCTTAAGTTTGTGCAGGAATCCGATCAATTTGCAACATTGCGTGGCATATCGACCTCTGATTCAGCGTTAAGGGCACATTCGTTGGCATACAGAAAGTCCCTTATGATGTCTGTCCGGACTTTGGATTCAGCGTTAAGGGCACATTCGTTGGCCTACAGAAAGTCCCTTATGATGTCTGTTCGGACTTTACTTTGGATTCAGCGTTAAGGGCATCTTCGTTGGCCTACAGAAAGTCCCTTATGATGTCTGTCCGGACTTTACTTTGGATTCAGCATTAAGGGCACATTCTTTGGCATACAGAAAGTCCCTTATGATGTCTGTCCGGACTTTGGATTCAGCGTTAAGGGCACATTCGTTGGCATACAGAAAGTCCCTTATGATGTCTGTCCGGACTTTGGATTCAGCGTTAAGGGCACATTCGTTGGCATACAGAAAGTCCCTTATGATGTCTGTCCTGACTTTACTTTGGATTCAGCGTTAAGGGTATATTCGTTGGCATACAGAAAGTCCCTTATGATGTCTGCCCGGACTTTGGATTCAGCGTTCAGTCTCCTGAGGTTAAATACTTTATCATCAGTTCGGGATCTGATGCTGATTCCAATGTCAACCTCTCTGAAAGCGTCAGACAGTATGTCATATAACATGATCATGAAAAGTGTTGGTGCCAGTATTCAACCTTGTTTGACGCCATTAGACACAGGGAATAGTTGAGACATCGCTCCCTTTTCCCAGACTCTAGCCTGCATCCTATTGTTGAATGGCTGCACTATTGAAAATAATTTTTTGGGCATCCATATTTACCCATGATCTACCTCTACTGACAGTACTAAAAGCCTTTGTTAAGTCTACATAGATGGAGAAGAGATCAACATTATTTTCCTGACAATTTTCCTGTAGCTGACTCCCCGCGCATACCATATCGACAGTTCCGCGTTCGTTGCGAAAGTCGCAATGACTTTCTGGCAGAAGACCCTTCTCAAAATTCAAATTGAGGCAGTTTAGGAAGATTCTACCGAGTATCTTGCCTGCAACGAAGAGGCAAAGATATGCCACGGTAGTTGTCACAGGATTGACGGTTACCTTTACGTTTGTACAAGTGGACTATGGATGCTTAGGACGACTTAAAATCCTTTTGTATCTTCTCTTGCTGCCTCATAATTAGGCACAGCTGGTGAAGCCTTCCGTCCAGATCATTCATCTGTGAACCCACAGACAGATTCAGTCCCAGCAACAAGCCAATAGAGCTACCAATAGAATTGAAATAAAAGAAAATCAATATTAGGAAAAGCAAAGCTAATTAGACATTTGAAAGACCATCATCTGGAGATTGACCAACCTTAACACTATCATCCACATCAATACAAAAATCTTTAAAAGATATCTTTGGACTATCCCCTCCATGGATTAGATGGATTAAATTTAAGAATACCAGAGCGCAGCGAACGATAGCGGTATCTCTGAAATACTGCAGGAACGTCAATTGCGGCCACATTATTAGGAACAGATGGTGGATCCCTGCAGAACTGCAGCCCCTTCTTTGTAGAATTCAGCTGGGATGGAGTCTACACTTGGAGCTTTGCCATGACTTGAGATAATGCGTATTTTTTCTAGTGTCTTGATCGAGGAAGGGGGGGGGGGTTCCTGTCTCACTGAGTGTATTCTCTCTCAAAGTTCACTGACAAAGGGATTGTTTCAATCTCAAAGTCTGTAAATCCATCGATATGATTTATTGCGCTTCCAGCCTTTGGGGATGAAGCGTGATTTTCAAATATACTTTATTATTATCATTATTATTATGGATCTAAGAGCTGTAAGTTGGAAAACAACTAGCACATCAGATAAAACTGGAAATTTTCTAGACCCTGTAATAAAATCAAATTACTGGTCTAAAATAATTTCCAATGCACAGCTGAGAAGCTGATCACTAGTGACAACTACTGCAGAAACTGTGACGGTCCAACACTAAAGATTACTTGGTAACATCTTTAGACGGCCACCACACTCGCTTCCTACAACATCCTTCTGAAGGTCAGCCCAGGGGAAAAAAACAGTGGAAGACCCAAAGAGATTGTAGAACAGAAACCCAAACCTATAGACAGCTCCCAGAGAAGTAACTGATAAACAGAAATGGTGTTCTACAATACTGCCTCAAGTACCCTACCAGCATTGAATGAGGCCAGAGTTAATGAAATGCTATAATTTGTTCTGTCTCCTTTGCTGCCTTTTCTGTATAAATCTTTCAGAGCAGTCACCTCTGGTTTCGCATGTGTACATATAAAGTGTATAATATGAAATTATTTAATTTTTATTTCTCCGTCAGCAAATCATACAAATAAATGCAATGTTTAAAATGATACATTATGGAAAACTATTAAGGAAGGCAGAAAGGAATAGGGTTCATAAATGGGCAAAGGATGGAGACAGTTTAAAGCATTATAAAAGCATAAGGCTTTAATCAGTTTCACAATATGACTGATTTTTATAAATTAACTGTTACATATTCAATAATCAAAGAATATTTTCTAAAATAATGAAATTAAATTGAAGTGAAAACGTTTTTCAAAAATAATAATAAATTCTGAGAAACACTGTTTACATCACATATTCTTAAAGTTCATAAATTTTTTTTAAAAAAGGAATATTTTTCATCAACAATTTAATAAATATTTTAAAAAAGAAAGAACAAATTTCAACTTTGACAAGCATTGACAAAAATAACTAAAGTAATGATAAATCCATATAAATCCATAGAACCTTTAAATATAAAGAAAAAGTAGGCTATATTAAGAATTCATCCCTAATTTTTTCATTTGGGTTTACTTCTTCTGGTAAAAGCTCTGTTACCCTGTTAACATTAGCCACAAGGATAAGAATCCAGCACCATATGAAACATTCAAACTTTAGCAGTGTTACTCTTCTCATAGTATTTGGAAAACTTACAGCCTTTAATTTTATGTTATTCCTATATTCATTATAAAAATTCTAAAAGAAATTTGCATTATTACATTTTTATCATACATAACTGTTACTGTACAAAAAAAAACAACAAAAAAAAAACAGCACATAAAATATCACAACCTCAGTTAGTACAAAGTTGAATTCCCTATTGTCAAATTGGTATTTTCAAACTGTGAAACTAGTTGTGAATTATTAAGCATTTTTCTCATCTCAAGAGGCAATGCATCAAGTTGTAACAATGCAGTTATCCAAGTGTTAGTGGCTATGCAGATAACTAGAACACATATCAGGTTCAGGACAAAACCAGCCTTGGCCTGTTAATTGAAAAGAAATAAAGCAAGCTATTATTTTTAATGGAGATAAACAATTAACATATTTCATCAAAGATTCTTGCTATTTTATCTAGTATAATGGTAAGAAGAGATTGGATTGAGTGTATTTGTGGGAAGCAGAGAAAAAGAGTAATTTAAAATTTTGTGTCACTTGCAATCAGTCTACTCCTTTACTTTTGTTATAATTTATGTTAACTATATCATAAGGAACTTACCATATCTTTTACTTTGATATGACCAATAGCAAATACAATAGCATTTGGTGCAGTAGCAACTGGAAGCATAAATGCTAAAGAACAGGCAAGAGTAGCAGGATAAAGCAGGTACAGAGGATTTAACTCCATGGCGATGGCCTGTTCAACAATGCAAACAGTTGATTAAAATAAATTATATTTAAGCATTAAAAATCACACTGATATTTTAAAACATTTTGATATCTTATATGATTTAGTGTATGTCAGGTAAATAGCCCAGTCATGAGAATATACTTGAAGTTTTTAAATTAGCTTAAGTTTTTAAAAAAAATCCTAATCATCAATGTTCCCTGTAAGTGTAAGCTATGTCAAAGTACCAAGAAAATGAGATTGGCCATGTTTTCCCCTTTAAAATGTGCACCCCATACAAATATTTTGTTTAGCTAAGATAATGTCAAACATGTAAAAATGAATTAATAAAGATCCTATAGAGTTCAAGTTACAATCAAGTAAATGAAACAAATGTAGTAAAGCAAAAATAATTGTTTATGGTGAGAATTATACTGTTTTTTCTTTATCAATCATTTCTCAACACAAGCAGAGTCATCCCCCCTCAAAGTCTTTTCTTTAGTGTTTCTAAGCTTAGTACTGGTTTCATTATTTTGTGATTTTATTTTTATTGTTGTGTTTGCAGATGAAGGTTTTCAGTTTCAGCTAAAAATCTAATTTCCTTATATTGGTGATAATTACAAAGGTGGAATGAAAAATAAAGAGCTTATAAGTTTTATATTTTACATTTAACCATTATTGTGATTTGGCAACAAGTATGTAACACCTAACTAGAACACGTCTGGATTTAAGTAACAATATAGAACTTCTGTTCCCTATTAATTATACATACTTAATTTAATTGTTACATCCTTTAACTTACCAAATCAGCCAAAATAGGACAAAGAATGCTTGCTGTTGCAGCATTACTTGTTATTTCAGTCAAAAATGATACAATTAAGGAGATGATGAATACCATGAGCCATGGAGTAACATTAGAGAAAATGGACAACCTTAATCCAATCCAAAGTGATAAGCCTGATGCCTTGTTAAACAAAAGATATTAAAATAGAGTAAGACAAACATTATTGCTATTACTTTGAATTCTAATTTTGTTTAAATATAAGATGTCCTACAAAATCTATCATAGCAATAAAAACAAAATAATTTCTCTACTTTCGCATTTGCTGGTCCAACAATTTGGAACGCCCTTCCTGTCGATCTTAGAAACAACCAGACACTGGAGTCCTTTAAAACAGATCTAAAGACACATCTATTTCGCAAATACCTTCTGGGATGATTGTCTACCTTATTTTCCATGTGTTGCTGTGTTGCTCCGGGTTGAAATGGCTAGAAAGACTTTGATATTGTATGCTTGTAATTAGTTTTTGTAGTGTTGAGTTTGTTTTAAATGTGGTGAATTATAGATATGTTTTTTGTTGACTTTGTACCGCGCTTCGAGCCTTTGGGGATGAAGCGTGTTTTTTAAATGAACTTTATTATTATTATTATTATTACATTACATCTAAAAGTGAAAAATGTTTAGTTGAAATGGATATAAAGTTGTGTAAGTACATTTTTCTTAAAACTATTTTATTTTAAATTTAGTTACATATATTTGAGGGATTTTCTAAGAAAAAGAAGGACTTGATTATGATAAAGTTAAATGACAATATAAGACATAAATATTTGTAAAAAATCAATCAATGCTTTAAAAACAAAAAGCTGGATATTACCTGACAAACATGTGCAATAGCATATCCTCCTCCAACCAACAACCAAGCACCCCATGGGAAATGTTCATTTACATTTTTCCAATCTATTAATGCTGGTACAGATTTAGGTAAAGGAACTGCACCTGAAAGAAATGAATACATTTAAAACATCTAGATTCAAAATATTGTAATTTTTTATTATTGATTATTTATTGTTATTGATTACAAAGATATTGTGTGATAAATAATAATGAATGTTTAAAACTTTGAAAATGCCTAAAAATTAATTATATATACCAGTAGAGAAAATGTGGTTACTTTTCTGAAATTTCATTTTAACTTTCAGGTATCAGATCATTGATTAGGCTTGCTGATTAAATTGATTGCTTTTATTTATATTTAATCACATACAATTGGGATTGTTTAAATAATTTTACCATCTTTTTCTTTTCTTAACCAGCAGAAGACACGAGGCTTTTCGCAGGGGAAAATAAATAATAACAATACAACTATGAGTCCTGGGGTTGAATTACTCACATAACTGAAAGTAAATTTAAAGTAAAATATATAAATCCAATACACAGCATAGAAATTCATTAGAAATCAATTAATTAATCAACTATAAGCAAGGCTAAATAAAATGAAATTAAGGGCCCATAGGGTCCAAGAGAAAACTTACTCTGGTTTAAAATAATAGCTCCATCCCATATCACCTGGCATTTTCATCGAAAACCATGATAGAATTAGGATAAAAAAGTGACCTATAACTGCCTTTTCTGCAAATCTGAAATTTACCCAAATGCCAAAAACCATGTACACAATAAATCACTAAGGTTACCGTATAAATTTTAAAGGACATATATAAATTATGTGAATACATTCAACCACAAAAATTTGAATTGTAAAAAAAAAATGAAACAAAATTTATGATTCAGAAAGTTTTACACTAGTAGGCTAGCATGACAAATATGAAATTAGAAATATCAAATTAAATCAAATGTGACATCTAAACAAAAAAAAACACCAAAAAAAATAAATAAATCGAAAGCAGTATTAATTTTTTTAAGTATAAAAAATGACACATTTTCACGAAAAAGCCATTAGTTTGAGCTGCTTCTTGCCAACAATATGCATACATTTAAAATATGTATATAAATATTTTGTTCCATAATCTTCATAAAGGTATCTAAAACTCTTAAGCTACAGCCACTTTCAATAGTGTTTCAAAGTACCCTTTCAAATACATATTTTATAATCAATATATACTTTTACCAAAATCTCACTTACACTTATTACTGTCCCATCTGGACTGATCTATATACAAAACATTTAACCACAATAATAAGTGCAACTTACGAAAGAGGACCCAATTCTCTTAGATGATCTCTAATAACAGTTTTCATAGCTTCTGTATTCTTCTTATCCCCACATCCAAAACTTGTTAATTCTCTAAAGATAAGATGAAACATTAGTTAATTTGTACAATTACATTATCGGTCATTAAACCATTTAAAAGTTTCCACACTTTATTAATCTATAAACATCCTTTTTGACCTATTTTATAAGCCCCCCTTAACTTGGAATGAGTAAACGTAGCCTCTTTAACAACCCCCGCCCAACCCCTTTTAAAAATCTACTTTGTCATATCCTAGTAAGTTAAAATTCAGAACAAGTTTGAAATTTTAATCTTTTATTTTAATTTTGCATAACCTGTTTAGAAATATATGTATCTAAATTCATATTTCTAGGTCAAAATTAGAAAGAGAATACCATGTCAGTGGATTTAGACAGAAATAATTGAACACTGTATATTTAAATTGCTTCTCTTAATTATTTTTTTTTAAAGATTAATCTCTAATAGTGACTTTTCACATTTAAAATAGTTATTTATGTCAGCAACTATCATGACTTTTGTTTTATTAGATGCCCATAAAATTACATGCATGATTTTGTTTGGTTTGCATATCATTAAGAAGTTTTAAAATATTAAAAACAGGACAAAGTTTGCATGCCGAAAAATTATTGGCATCCAGACAAGTGTAGCTACTGATCTCTTTTTATCTTTGTGATGCAGCTCAGGCCAAATCTAATAGTTCTCATACATAAAGTAAAAACAGTAATGAGAGGCCTAAGATTAAAGAAACACAATCTCAAATGAAAGCAATACAATACTGATGAGAAATATTACGAACAAGATCTGGGAAAGCTTGAAATATAGAACAAACAGAACACAATATTACCCAAAAGACTGAAATAAGGTAATCAAGGCATGATGTGGAAGAATATCTTTTTGGTTACCTGCATTTATTTTTTAATTGACCAAACAAGAAAGCTATTAATATTAAAGATGGCAAATGTCCATAAATACTTGCCTTATTCCAAAGAAATGAAACACCAGCCACATCCAAGAAAGTATAAGACAAATAACAGCTAAGGGAAAGCAACACATAAACCAGCTGAGGAAATTCACACCGGACTGTAGACCATACTTTTCAAATATTCTGTTGACATTGTTAAGATATGAAATAATAATAATAAATATTGAAGTACTATTACTGAATTATTAAATGCTATGTAAACAAATCGTTAATGTTAAGAAATTTTTAAAAATTGTGCTAAATGTGTGACTTTTTATATTTTTGCACAATTTTTTATATATTTTTTTTTATATTGTACAGCTTTTATTAATGCGTGACAAAACTAATCTTGTTTTAATTTACGCCAAAGCTGGTGGGGGAGGGGGGGAGGAAGACACACACAATCATACCCTGGACATACATCAACTTTCAAGGAACAACATGAGTAACAAACTGGCAATAAGGTTTTAAAAATGACTTTTTAAACTTTTGCATGTATTGTAGAAAAAACTTTGAACAATGAATAATATAAACAAAAATATTGTCTTACTCTCAATTAAACTTTCAATGTCTCCTGAATAAAGTTAAATTAAGGAATAAGTTTGCAAGTCTCTGTCTTATAATGAAAAATATAAAATAACTAGACCTTTTCTTGCTGGAGATTAAGATGGATACCCAGAAGCATTAGGTGTTTGTGGATGTAGACCAGATAGGTTTTGGAAGGATTAAAATAGCAGCAGCTTTAATGTATGGGGGGTGGGGAGTAAAAAAATGTGATGTCATGATCTTAAAGTTTGAGTAAAGTAATACATATAAGTCAAAAAAACTTTTTTTTTAAACTTACAAATCAGCTTGACCCTGCATAACCAAATTTGTTGTGGAACCTCCTATGGATCCAATACCGCCTAATGCTGCAGAATAGCAAATACATAGACTTAACACCTTACACATGTGTTTAAATTCCTTATTTGGATAGTTGAATTTGTCACTAGCTGTTCTGGGGAATACATAAAAAATAAAACAAAATTCAAAACATATTTTCTATAGATTTTTTTCACAGTTCTAAATAGTAAATATTCTAAAAAACATTTATATGTATTAAATTGAATAATTAATGTTTCTTTTAAAACAATAATAATTTAAAAGACTTAAAGTTTAAAGTAAATTAAATAATATGAAACAGAAATTATAGTATTTTATTTTTTCCAAAACTTTTTCAAAGATTTAAGTTTTTTTTAAAAAAATGTATCCAAATCTAAACCGATATTTAAGGCAAAAATGCAGATAGGTAGTTATCTAAATAATCAAAGATCTATTAACCTACTTCTCTGAATGATTTTTTTTATTTGTATTTAAAAATTGTAATGACTTGCTTTCTCTATTGATGCTCACAGCTAATTCCATATCTGAAACTTTGAAAAGCATAATACTCAAAGGTGTAGTCAGAGATTGGATTATTTAGTGTTGGCTATAAGGCAAATTTTAAACTGTTAATTTATCCTCATAAAATGTGTGCTGTAAATAAACAAATGTTTCTAGGCCATTTGATATAGTAAATAAATGACTCTCCTGTGATTTATCTCCTCGTAACAATGACTTTCTTTAATACAATATAATTAGTTATCATTGAAATTAATTTAACACTCTATGCTTTCCATTACTTCTTATCCAAAAGGTGAATAGATCTACCTAAAATTTCAGAGCCTTTCAATTCCTTTTTTTGCTCTTCAATATCCTGTAACTGATCCAACACTGCAGTAACTACTGGCACCATCATAGCGGTAGCTGATGTATTGTTCACCCACATGGACAAAAACCATGTGGGTAGCATGAATCCTAGAGTAAGCCTTAAAAAATAACAATCACAACAATGAATAAATTAAAATGTAGTTAAAAATGGTATTTTATCAATAATTTCTAAACAGGGCGTTCATTTCAAGAAATGCTGATAATTAATAACAAAATGTATTTCCTTTTTTAGTTTAGCAACAAGTCAACTGCCAAAATCCAAAAATTTGCATATGGCAAAACAGCCTTAGTTCAATCAAAAACATTGCTTGAAGCTTACCACATTTATTATTATTATAATTAGGTGGTTTTATATAGTGCAGTACCCCAACCTAGGGCTAGGCTCACTGCGCTTCACATAAAAATTAGCAATTACAGAAATGTATACATTTAAAAACAACAATTGGTGAAAAGCTTGACCTCACCGACCCAAGTACTATCTACCTCTGTCTAGCTATGGACAGCACACAGCAGAATCGAGCGCTGTTTATCAGTCAGAGGGGGATGAGTCAGTATAGTACAGTTTGAAGAGATGGGTCTTTAGGGCAGTTTTGAAGGCTGTGATGGTCGTTATATTGTGGATGTGTAATGGGAGAGAATTCCATTGTTTTGGGGCACATAAAAGAAAGATCGTTCAACATATGTTTTAGTGTGTGTTCTGGGAACAGAAAGAATATGGGTGTCTGTGGAGGGAAGAAGCTTTCCAAGGGGTGAATAGACAGTAAGAAGTTCATTAAGATAGGGAAGGGCAGGAACAAGAGAAAAAGTTGTGACAGGGAACAGACAGAATTGTGAAATGTAAAAAGAACATGAGAATAGTGAGTGTTATTAGAAGCTATACACATGTTAGAAACAAAATTTGATGTATGCAGAACAGTTGCGAAAGACAGAAGTTGCTGATTATAGTTTGAAGAAGAATTTCTGATATATCTGAAAATCAATTTGATCTTTTATTTTATTAAACTATGTAATTCAAAATTGAATATACTAGTAGTTGAGGCAGTGGTACAATATGTTCTTTATGATGCAAGAAATATTGGTTTTAAGAATACAAAATATTTTGCAATTCCATTCTTAACAAGGCTATGTCCATAGAAATATTTAATAAATGTTCATTTAAAAAAAAAAAAAACTATAATGCTTACCATTTTGGGCTAGAGCCCATTAAAAGTAAAGTTCTGAGAGCAATTCTCTTATGTAGTTTCCACTTTTCAACACAAAGCGCAAAGGTAAGGCAACTGAAGCTAAACATCGATGCATCCTACAATGTAAATGAAATTCTAAGGATTACAAGTTTATTACTAACTTTTTTAAAAATAATTTTTCTTTAAAAACAATAAGTAAAAGTAAATACTCTAATACAAATATTTTACCAAATCATGAAGTGTCACACAATTTACACAGTAACTAACCTTTATATAGTTTAAACATACATCCTTAGCTGACAAGACTCCAAGCAATGGGAAAATGATGATGGGTGAAAGAGCAGTTACTGCAAGAGGCAATGCTTCTGTTATCCAAAAAGATGCAATAACAATCACTCCATACAAGCATGACATCTCCTGAACAAGAACATTTGAAATGCAACATATCCTACAAAATTCATATATTATGTTTAAAAGAATAGTGCAAAGATTGTGATGAAAGTGCTATAATTCCATGAATTCAGTCCTGAAACTAGATTAGTATTCCTCAAATGGTGGTTATAGTTGTTTGTTTGGTCTTTGCTGTAAACACACATTGTGGCATAATTTTTTTAATATAAAAATATTATCAATCCTAGACAGCAACATTTTTGCTTCACCTGAAATTAATTTTAAGTTGTGCTCATTTTATCCCAAAAATATATTCTAAATACATAGGACTCATTTCACTAAGGAAAGTATTCTGCAATTTACTACACTAGGGTTCATCTTTTGCCCTCTGTAATTATTTTCGAGCACCTGTGGGTTTCAATTTTTGCATTAAATTATCCTAGCGCATCTAATTTCAGCATACTGTAACTGTAACACGGTAAATGTATAGCCATTTCCAAATTTCAATTTTCCAAATAAAATTACTTTTCTTAAACATATATTAACTAAGAATGAAATTACCTTTGATCCATCAATGGTAAGAATAGGTGAAGCCACAAATGGAACAAAAATCAGTATCAAGGTTTTCCATACAGTAGTAAGATCTTTTAAAAATGACATTGAAACAGGTACATGCAATACTTTGTTGATAATTTTAGAGTGTAGGCTAATGATAACACTTTTTAAAATATTTGGTGTAGAATAGAGAATTTAGATAAAACATATGCTTTCTTTCTGTGGCTTCTATAATCTAAATTTTAAAAAGAAATGAATCAACTGTTTAGAGTTTTAGTGTTTTTTTAGGCTTCTAAAATATCTACTGACCACGGTTGAATATAACTTAAGTTATATACTAATTAAACTTAAATGTTATCTTATCAATTAGCACTTTCTGTGACCTGAATTTCTAATTACCATTTTCTTAGCACGCAGGTAATGAAAAAAGTACAAGTAATAAATCTAAATGAAATGAAGTTCTACTACTTAAGACATATATATCAGAATTTGGTCCACATTTCCTTGTTTCTAATTGATATTCAAAGTCATGAGCTGTTTAGAAGTCAGAAAATTTAAATTGTTTGCATAGCCTTATCACATATTTAAAAAAGAAATAATTATAGCTCTATTACTATTATATGAGCAATTTAAAAGAAAAAACATTGTAATGTTATCATTTTTTTTTTTTAAACTTATAGACTTAAAATTTGTGTCTCAGTAACAACTATAGCATCAGATGTTTGGATTAAAATATTTTGCCTGTTTCATAGAATAAGATCTAAATGTGTTGATTTTAAGAGCTAAATGGAAGCACTATTTACCAGGTTGTAAATTCTTCTCGTACAACACTAAGAGTAAAGTGCATTTATTACTGATGTGAAATCAACCCTCTTACAGCTATTAGAAGAATACTATTGAAATTCATTATTAGATCAATTTTGTTTGTATTTTGCTTAAAAGGAAATGACAAAAACACAAAAGCTAACTTTTTATATTTCAAATATCAGGTCTTTTAATAAAGTTATTAACAATAACATTATTTTTAATATAATGGTAACTTATATAACACTAACATGAACAATTATTGTAAAATTAAAGAAGTATTGTCACAAACATATAAATAATTTGGGAAAAAACATTAAAACACCAATTTACACATAAAAAAAGAGAAACAGTTTTTGAAAGTGTTGGAAACACCAGTAAAGTGGGTCTCCACATAATGAATGCCCCTCATAACAAACAATCTGCATGACAAACATGGATATTCTGCAAAAAATAACTTGCAAACCACGACTCACCTAAAAATACTTCAGCTTTTGCCCACATGGAAAAAATCATAACAGCTGAGCTTACAAAGGGCATCCTCTGCTTACCCTGAGCATTCGGGAGGGGAAAAGGAGTCAGTGGCACTCTTATGTGTTTTTTGGGTTGTGTGTTTGCGTGTGTGGTGGTGTGTTTGCATGCTTGTAGGTATCTTTACGTTGTGCTTTGTCAATTATTTTTTTCACAATTGTTTGGATAAATGAGCTAATTATTTTACACTGCAGTTTGTTTTTTATTTGCTTTGGATTGTCAGGCAGTCCTAAAAAAACTATGATAAAAAATATCTCAATCAGGTATATTGATAAGTATCCATCCTTATGTATTTCAGGCCAATAAATGTATTGTTTGTATGCCAAAGTTTTGTGCTTGAAAATGTACATTGCCTATTATATGTGTAATTGTATTAAGAATCAAGAAATTAACCTGTATTTCACATCCTCAGTCAAAGGGGCGTATACTTAATTCAATTCAAATATTCCACCACTCAAAAAAAGTTAGAATAGAAATAGGACGCTCTCCTTAAATTTTCAATCAGGTCAAAACTGTATAAAAAATAACTTCTGTTTAACAAAACTTATTATCATACCTGGTACTCTTAACAATTAGCTTTCATTTATAAAAAAAAATTTTGTCATGACAGAATTAAAAAGGTTTACTATGGGACCCTATGGGAAATCGCCATTCATATAACAAAGTACCAGCATAACAAATGTTGTTCCAGAACTGATTAGGCTCATCATGTGGGGACCCATTGTACTGAAATATTAAATTTTACTATGATTCAATTTATTACAAATTTGTATGGATATTTAAAAAATTGTTACATTTTAAAATTATGAATATCATAGTAGTTAATGATCAATATTTATTAAAAGACAACCTATTTATGACACAATAACTCATATGGGGCAATTTTGTTCAAGAGGGCCTGATTGTGACAAATTTGTATGCATGTGTGATGCAATATCCATAATTTAAGTCCATAACCAATAGTTAAACCATTAAACTCTTGCTGCTGTTCCTTTAATGCAGTGGTCAGCACATGTTTTTGACTAGGGACGAAATGCATAAATTATAACTGCTTACAACATATTTTAAGACCAATTAAAAAAGGTCCTCATCTATTCCATCAAAGAATTATTTTCCTACCACATATCTAGTCCATAACATATATTTATATCATGACTGGCCATTAATGTAGAATCATTGTTAACTCCCCAAGAATGATAAAAATAAATTATCTTTAAACATGTATTAAGGTTTATTTTCACTGGCCTAGTCTAACTATACCTATAGAAAGATTATTTCAGATACCATAATTCATCTGAAAATAATTTATACTTTCAAATGCTCTTAAAACTGTTTGTATAACATATACACAATCTTATTAATATATAGCATAAGAACTTTAAACAGATCTTAGGAAAAGAGTTTTTTTTTCTGCTCCCAAAGATCATCGAGCATGACAATCTCCAAATATAATGTGTTATGATATATTTTATAAGACATCATTTATATAACAGCAGCATGATATCTGAAAATATGTTTTTAAAATATCAGGTACAAGTATCCATGTTGAAACCTTTTAGACAGCTATTGCCTTTGTGACAGTGCTGGCCTTCTTCTTAGCTGAAGTGCCTTGAAATTCCTGACTATTAGCAAGTTCAAGCTCACTCTGTTTTTGAATGATCAAAGAATATATTGTAATTAATAAGTAAATTGATATGAAGCTCATAGAGTTTTTAACTAAATACTTTTTATCCAATATTCACTGTCAAAATTTCAAAATTTGACCTAAAGCTAATAACAACTTTTTAAACTTTAATAATGTATAGGCAAATGAAGCAGGAAAATAATACAATTATTAGAGGTATTATCAGAGTAAACTTACATTGTCAGTCCTTGAAAAAGCTCGTTTTTTACCTCGCTTTCCTCTAGAATCTACAGCTGCGGGTAATCCTAAGAACTCAACCTGAAATCAGAAAATTAATTTTTTTTTTGTTTATTAAATTTAACATTTGTACTCGCTTAACTTATAATTTCTTCACTTTATCAGACTAAATAACTTTAACACTGTTGTCACCTGTGTAAGCTTGAGCGCTATTGAATAGTGTTTTGATTGCTTAATTAAAGTGACATAAGCAAAGAAAGAGCAAAATTAAATATGAAAGTGGTGGTAGCAGGGAAAGAATTAGTGATTTGCTAGTAACAGCTATTGAACAACAAGAAAATGTGTAATTTACCCTTCATTATAACCATTAGTATACTTATTATCACTAAAAAGAATTGATTTTATTAGGACAGTGGATACTCACTTATATTACACTAACATCACTTGCATTAAACCATAAACACAAGGAAGTAATAAACTAAATGCTTATTTTTTAGGTGTTAATTAAAAAACTTTTATCAAGTTTAATTGCACTTTATAATTATGTAACATAGAGGCTTTTGATATTCAGATATAGAAATAAAAATTGATGTAAAAAAAAAAAAACTGTCTTCACTAATTTTACTTAGGAATTTGTCTTATTTTAAGATAATTAATTAAAATTAAAAATGAATGTATTATAAAAATTGAACAAAAACAAAAGAAAATACTCAGGTTCATCACATACTGATGAAGCAGGTGAACTTCTAGTTCTCCTCCTTGTTGATTGGATATTTATTTTGTTAGTCTTGTCAGTTAGTGTTCCTATTAGATCCTATTAAAAATATTTAAAACAATACATGTGTGTTAAGAGTTTAAAAAAAATAAAAAATTTTAAAAAAGTCCTTCGCTAGAGTATTTTTCCCCTCATTATTGGTTCTATATTATTGATCAGTTTTGAAGTACAAATTTGAGCACTTATGAACTAAAATACATACATCTGTCTAGATAAATTAATTATTAAAATTTTATCAGTACATTAGGATATTTTAGATAGAAAAAAAAATATTTCTAGTAAATGTACTAAAACTTACTTTATCTTCCAAATCATTTTGTGCACTTGCAGCACTCTTAGAGTTGGAAGGCTGGTTATACTGAAAAAAAAACAACATACAAATATACTCCATGCTCAATTTCTTAATCAATGAGCTAAAATTATTTTTAGTTCTCTAATTTAATAAAATGACATGCAATTTAATTCATAGGATATCTATATTTATTTATAAATAATGATCTTAATTTTTAATGCCTTCTAAAAATTATGAAAACAACTCTTCATAAAAGAAGTTGCCTATTCTGATTGTTGAACCATGATTGAAAGAATCTTAGAATATTATTTTATTTTAAAAAGTTTATGCTTTATGTAAGTTAGAGAATCTTCAAACATATTTGCCTTTTGAGTTAATAATTTTTAACCTACTTTTTTTTTTTTTTTTTTTTAAAAAAAAAAATGTATTTTACAATTAACCATTTCTTTTTTTTTTTTTTTTTTTTAAAAAAAAGCATGTATTTTACAACTTACCGATTCATTTTTATTTGCAGTTAATGAGTTGTCAGCATTCTTTGATAAAGATTCTGGAGTTTTCAAATAGCGAGGAATGCCTTCATTTTTTAATTTCTCTAAATCTACGGTTTTCCCTAACCTTAAAAAAAAAAGGGAGAATTTTGCATATCTGGTAAAATTTTAGGTTTATCGTTATAAATTTATGCAAGTAGTGTTCATGTATAATTATTTTGGCTGTAACATAACAATATATTTTTCTATTTACTTTTTGAATTTTTGTTTAGTAAATTTATCTTCTTATGTTTGAAATGAAAGTTTAAAAAAAAAAAAAAAAAAGTTTAAGAAGTATTACCAACTCCAAAAATAATCTAGTCTATAAATATTATAAATTTCAAATCTTCTGATCGACATGTTTAGCCTGTGTCAAAATTGACTTACAGTTAATCCCTTTACAAAATGAATCCATGAAACATTAATTAACTCTCACTTTTTTCCTTTGCTTGGGCCTTTAAGAAACCCTTCCTTTTCCAGTCTGTTGATGAGTCCTTGTGCCACAGTGCTTTCAACACCCAACCTTCTGCCTAGCTGTGGTGCCACAATCCGCTTGAACTCACTGCATGCAGATAGAGATCTGCGCCATAAACAAGTTGCCTGAAAATGTATTGATAATTTAATAGGTTGAGGAGGTCAAAAAATATTTTACAGCAATCAAAATTTTATATTTCATTTATATTAATTTTTTTTTGTAAACAATTTATTTTGTTGCAAATTAGTTATATCCTCTAAGTATTACCAAATATACTCATATTAAAGCTTGTTAGTTTACATTCATAAGCTGATTCCCCTAGTTTGGCTGCAAAAAGCCTGAAATATCTATAACCCATTAATAAGCCCAGACCATAAAATAATATGTCAGTGATTCTATAATTGAATCAATGTACCAGAAGAACGTTTAAAAATCTGCTATGACCCGTTTATTAGCTGACCACCCTAATTATATCCCTTAAATTTACATTTTTTTATAGTTGTTTTTAGAACAAGCACATACAGCAGTGCTTTCCCAAATGTTCATGTTGGCGGCACACATTTCAGAAATGCATCATGTAATGACACAGTAAGTCAATTGTACAAGTATAAGGGGGGTTAAAACACCCGTTTTGAGACATACTGGCACAGAGATAAAGTGTAATAACCCAGTGTATGATGACACAACATATCTCATGAAAACCTTTCTTTTATATTTTGGATGCAATTTTGAAACGCAAATCCAAAAGCTAAATATCAGACTCTTCATGCATGACTTTAACAGAGTCCTCTAATTTTGTTCAATCTAAGTCTTCTTCTTCAATAAGTTAAGAATTAAACCCTCAAAAGAAATGGATTCACAGTTATGCATTTTAGTATTTTGGAGGTAATGATAAACTTTCTATGGAGCAATATCATATGGTTCACAAATCTTATAATAGCTTGCTTTCAGCAATTTTTGTATACTTTCCCTTAATATTTCCAAATTACATTTTTTGTCTCCAAATCCGATAGCGCAAATTTGATTGATATAGCCCCATTATTTTTTTTCCCTCTTACATGCTGGTTTTTTTAATACATTTTTCTGTGTGTAGTATCAGCTTCTTAGATTTTAATCCAATTTCTTCACAATTATTAACATAATAATCTGATTTAAAAAATCTGCTTTTGATATAATTTACTTTTTGCATCACTTTGTCAATAACTTTTCTTTAGTTATTTCCAGTGTTTTTAAAGTTTAAAAAAAAAAATTGTGAATTTTGATATGGTTTATTTTTTGTGCAACACAGGCGATACACTATTGTGTCGCAAAACAAAGTTTGGAAAACACTGATATACGGCAACATTTTCTTTTTTAATCTTACTTGCACCGCTACTTGTGACATTCCATAAAGATGAGGATCAGTTGGTTCTAATGAAGGGTGACCTGGCTATGAGATATAATTAAAAATATAAACTTGTATTTCTTACATTAATTGAAAACATTCAGATGCTAAATTAAATTATATTAAATTAAAAAATAAATTCTTTTAAATATTATCATTTTGCACATTAATATAGTACTATATACATTCCACCAAAGGAATAAAATTATGATTTATCTTGGTAAATCTGACAGTGATATATTAGTTATAGCCTATAATGATGCATGGCTAAAGATATATGGTAATATAGCTTTCTGTAAAGATACTACCTTGGCACAAACATCACATATATGATCAGCAGGGGCTTTTTCCGCTGATTTGATCAGAAAGCAAATACCATGCTGCCAGAATTTGCAGTTTGAACACATAACCATTAATCCATCATCCTATAAAACAACAAAAATAAAAAAGATAAGGGCTTTGAAGTTAAAGTTAAAACCAATACAAATTTTATTAAAAGAAATAATTGCACATTTAAAGAATTACTTTGTAGATTGTACCTCATTGCATCCACACGGGCATCGGACATTAAAGGTTTCCTCACTTGACAGAGGTTTTCCAGGACTTTTTAAAGAATCTGATTTGAAATAGTTTAGCAAAGCATTTTTCAATTAAGATGAAAACATACAGCTAAAAATTAATTATGAATGAAAACAATTTTTAAAAAAATAAACTACAGATAAAATGTATATACACATTTTTTTTTAACAAAAAAAGAAATTTAAAAAACGTCAAGTATACAGTATAAATTATTTGAATGAAGGCAGTGTGACATTAAATGTTACCTGGTTGTGTAGGGCTTAAATTTTTATTTGAATTCTGGTCAGATTTCATATTTGTTTTGAGAGTTGATACACTGTTTTTATTTTCACGAGATACTTCCTGCATCATTTCCACTTCATCAGAAATCTTTAAGAAATATATGTATTTTTTCGTTTGTAAGATAAAGAAAATAAAATAAGATTCTGGTGAGATCTGAAAGAAATCTGAAGATAAAAAGTACCCTTTTCCAAGAGTCTTTTCAAAATTTGAGAGACACATAGAAATACTTTTTTAAAGTGAAGGATATCCTCTGACTGGGGTGAACTATACGTTTTATGCCAATCATAGAGTCAGTCACATTTCAGTTTTACGCATGTTAAATTAATATTTTTTAAAACATGATAATCAACTTATTGATAAATAAAAATAAATATCTACATTTTCTTGATTATCAATAGTGATACCTCTTCATTTAATGCTGTGTTACCCAGGGTTGACACTTCAGCTTCTTGCTCCATCCCTTCAAGTGGTTCTTCATGCAACTCAAACTGCTTGCTGCCTGTTTTCACTCGCATTTTAACACTTCAAAATAATTTTAATTAAGAAATATAGTTCCATTTTATTACTTAGATCTATATGTAATGTTTTCATTAATGTTTCCAACGTTTTTATATGTCATTGTAAACCAGATGATATTAGTCTAACTTTATAAATTTTTTAAAATAATTGGTTACTAAAATAGATTTTTAAAATTCGTCCAATAAATAATTTAAAACATAATTTATTTTTTTATTTTGTTAACAACCCAAACATATATATAATTAATCACTTCACTGAAATTCCTTCATGGAAGGGAGGTGTAAAAAATAATACATATATAATTTTAAACTCAAAACTTTAAAAAAAAAAAAAAATCATTAAAAAGAACAACTTTTGAACCATTCATACAACTTAAATATATAAAAATTATGGTAACTATTAACTTTAATGCAACAGGTACTCTAATGAAAACGTTTTTTATACCTTACAATAAATAGTAAGGTTTTGCTGCCCTCTTGGAAACTATTTCTAAGCAAAGTGCTATTTTTTAATTTCAATTTTATTCTGTTTTTCTCTTTTGTTCGCTGATGAAAGCTTCCTGGCGACATGTTCGTTGCTTTGATGCGTTCCCTTTTCAGGTTTAACCTAACTTTTTTTTTTTTTTTTTTTACTAATTTCATATTGTGCTAACCTGATTGCAGTCTCTCCCCTTATCACCCAATAAATAGCAAGGATTTAAAATGCACAAATACATGAAACTTACACATGAAAGGGCTGTAAGGGAAGCAAAATACTAAAACATTTTAAACTAAAAAAGATTTTGATAACTTAAGTTAGGTTAGGAAATTGATAAAATTTCTAGTATTAAGAATAAACAAGAAATTAATACATACTTATTACGATGGTAATGTTAATGTGCATTTATTATATTAAAAGAAATTCTAAATAACAATGATTTTTTTGCCAATTTTGATACAAATATACTATTTTTTGTGCATTGTTGGGTCAGTTGAAATGAACAGTTAACATGATTTTTAACATTGTGAATACAAAGCTCAGAAGTTATATAAATAGGCCTAATCTTTTTAAAAATATTTTCCCTTAAGACTTTGGAAACACTAAGAATACACAATTTTAAGTTAATAAAGAAATATGATATTATTTATTACCGTAGCAACTTCACCAACAGAAATGTTGGTTGCCTCTTCAACAAATTTAAAAGCATCAGCATTTGAAGCTTTAAATCCTGGAGGTTCATAATCAAATGGAGTGACTGATTTAAAAGAAAAAATTCAATTATGAAAGTTCAAAATTTTGAATATGTTTAATTTGTTAATTTTTTATTTTATTAAATATAATATGTTTTTCGTGAGAATAATAGTTTAAAATTTAAGAATATAATGAATAAAATCATAATCATCACACGGTCATTTGCTAAGAAAAATACCTTCATCATAATAAAAAAGCTTCATGGTCATCATGACATCATCTGGCAGTGAGGTTAGTGTGTTTGTTAGAATTATCAGTGTCCTCAGCAAGCGAATGGTTGCTTTCTTTGTTTCTTCTGATGAGTATGCACTTGAAATCTTTTTTTCATTTCTATTTTTTAAAACATTAATTTTAAAGAAAAAGTGGAGAAGGGGTTTTAGAGGGACATGAGCATTAATTTTAATTTTTTTAATTAGATGATCAAATGTATTAAAAACTATTATTTAATTTCATAGAGGAAAAACAGCTAAATAATTATATTAACTAAGTCTTACTAAGTTTTTGCATAAATGTTGACAACATACAAAACAGTTTCAGAAATTTATGGGGCTTTAATTTTTAAAGAGAATAGCACAAGTTCATTTCAAAATCTAATAAGATAATAACAATATTATTATTATTATAATAAAACTTGGTTTCGTCAGGACATCTCTTTGCTTGTTTCTTTATGTAAGTCTAAAAATACCTACCAAGATATATAGTTTCTCTGCTATTTTTCCTATTTCTAATTATACTAGCTATAGCTCTTAAAAATAGTGGACTTGCAAAGGGGACCTAGCCCTAGACAATGTACTTTTCGTAACAGTTGAGCCCATGTCTGAAGCCTATCTATCAGCTATTCTCCATACACCATTTATTTTTATAAATACCAAATTTGCAACTAGCTGGTACACTTTTAGGGAATTTTTCATGCTTTTAAAAATATTTCAAAATATCTAAAATTAAAATGTTAACAAATTATTTGTGACATGTAGGCCTACACACATTATCGTATGAATGAACTCAACATTTCTGTTAATCCAAATGACGTATGATCTTTAACTGCTGAAATTCTTCTTAATTTGATTCATTTTTCACAAAATGACAATTAAAATGTAACTTTCACAACAACAAAATTATCGCAAAATCATAGTATGTTTGAGTTAGTGAAAACAGCACCATTTCATTTGGTAGTAATGTGATTTCCATTCAGAAAAAGAAAATATTAAACATCAAAGGCGCTTGCAGTATTTTTAAGAATCTCATTTAACACAGTTATCAGGTATTTTCTTTAGTTAAAGCATTAGTGACATTAGTGGTAACCTAGAGAATTATGTATTGTTATGAATGGAAGTCCAGTTTGATGACCAATGCTTTTAAGGAGGCAACATCCCAAATCCAGAAATGTATTTATTCTTCAAATTTCAGAAGTAGTTTTAGTATATAATACATCTGAAATGTCCTAAAATCCTCTAAAATTAATATTGAAATGTGTTGTAACAGGGTTAAATTGATGTCTATTCATATTCAAAGTCTATCAATTAATTTTTATGTGCTAATCTTGTTTTTGGTGAGCAAACATATAATTCCATAAAAGGACATTGCGTGTACACAAATACTTTTGTTCAAAATACAAATGAAATATTAGACAAACTCACCTGTAAATATCAATTTCTCCATTATTGTTGTAGGTAAATTTAAATGTGTAAGATTCAATAACAGTCTGTATAGAAATAAACATACAGTATTTTTAAATTATAGTTAGATACTTAATTTAAATTTGATACTTTATATAAAAAAACTAAGTTAGAAAATTAAGACTATAGAATATACTAATATTTGATAATTGATACACACTTAAGAAATGTAGACTTATACCATACAGAACAAAAATTAAGATTTTAAACTTATATTCCTTTCATAATTGCTTTATATTTTCTAAAGAGATATATGGTTAAACTTGGAATTCTTATCCATAAGACAAGGTTACATCTAAAACTTGTCAGTGAAAAAAAATATTTTTATGGCATAATTTATGAAGATTTGTTAGCTATTGCATACCTCTGGATTATCAGGATCTACATAGATCTGAAATATGTAAATTTCTAATAAAAAATCATATAACTGTGCCTATTTAAAATGTAAGCCTATGATCAAGGAACAAGAAAAAAAAAATAGCATATCATTAACAAGAGGTTTAAAATGAGCTGAAAGTTCAGCTCTTAAGAGCTCCTAAGTTATGAATTTCTATTAGCTAGTTAAATATTCAAAATATTAAGCTGCAGATTTTACATACACACATGCAAAATAAATAAATTTAAATTGAAAACATACCCCTATGACAAGTGTCTTCAGCTGAAAATTGTAAATGTATATGCATTAGATTGTTTTTTCATCAATCTCAATGTGTGCATCCTTTTAATGAATATATTTCACACAAAAGATTATTAGTAGTTCTGTCTCACTACTTTTACTATTTTTAAGCTTTAATGCTTAGTCTTTTTTTTTAACTTCCAAGCTCAACATATTTGGCTGTTTAATTTTAAGAGTAAAGCATGGCCTGAACCTAGCTTCAGCTTTATGTGAAGTGGAGAATTATAAAATAAATATATTGTAGTATTTAACATTTTTTGTTATAAAGTAATCATTTGGAATTAGATGATTCTTACACTTCAGTAAAATTATGTTTTGACAAACAACTTCACATGACTTAAGATATACCAGTAAAATAGAAAAGCAAGAAAGTTTATATACTTCTTTTCTTTATAATTGAATTTAAATGTTTTAATTTTTTTTTTTCAAGTCCATTTATTTCTCACTAAACCTCAATGACCCTTTAAATCTCACTGTGCTCCTAAGAGGTGGTGCCAATTAATGTAAAAACTATGACATATGAAACTTTTTAACATATTATATTTTAACAATTGTACATTATGTACACACATAAAGAGGCTCACATATTTTTTTTCCAAGGCATCAAAGCATCCTTTAACCCATTTGATAACCTGACAAGCACCAGGACAAGAACTTTCATCCCTCAAAATCTTTAAATTTAAATCTGAAGGGAGAGTAATAGGAACCATGATTAAAGGATAATGCACTGTCACCCAAATTTTATATAATACAGGAAAACAACCCATATCTTTATTATCAAATACTAATAGGGTTGATTTAACTTTAACATAATATTAACTTCACATGAAAACTAAGCAAAAATTTAAAAAATGAAAATTTTTGGCTATAAATTAAGTGAGAATGTGCCATGGCCAGTTCAATAAAAGATTTTTGTAACTTAAAGATTAGAGAAAATTATAAAAATGAAGATACAGTCTTATTATTAATGTGTTGATTAAGCTTAGAAATATTAATATTTGCAAAAAACTGATTTTAAAAAAACAAAAACTTGGGACTTTAATTTAGCCTTTTTTTACCTTCTAGACATTTGTCTCCAAAAGCATGTTCTGGAAATATTGCACGAAGATAGGTAATATTGGAGATAGCCACTGCCAAAAGCTTTTTCACGAATAAAGCTGATTTCTGCTCAGTTAACTGCTCATTTGGAAATATAGATTCCCACTAAAATAAAAAAATACATTAGTAAAACATGAACAAAAAAATTTAATTTGTAGCCTTTTTCTTTTTTGGGAGAAACTCAGTACTGGTATGTAAGCATCATAAATTATATGAATTTTTGTCAAAGTTCATATGACACTTATTAATTTACCGTTTTCTTATACATATCTTTCTTCTGGGAGAATAAAACTATTGCCTATTAGTATTATTGCAAATGGTAGAAAGAGGACTTGATGATAATAATGATAATTATATTTATTTTAGTCAATGGGTTATTATTACTAACTAAAGACATGTAATTACTATTTAGGGGCCATCCATAAATGACGTCACACAAATTTTGCCGATTTTTTACCCCCCTCCCCACTTCGTCACAAAAAGTTAGACCCTTCCTCAAATATAATGTCACAAATCTCTCCAACCCCCCCCCCCTTATAAAAATTACCTGTGTCCACTACTGTCCTATACAAACCCTTAAGAAATTCACCTCCCATGGATATCAAATTACTGCACCTGTGTCAGACATTTCACTAGAACAGTGGTTCTTAACCAGGGGTAAAAGTATCTCCCCAGCCCTAAAGTGGGGTAGACCAGAAAATTGTATTTGCTGTCATTGCTAGTTGTTTTTATGCATTTTGATTAGCAGCAGTGAATGTTTTCTGGTGAATTTTGTTTGCACATTAACATTACTTGTACTGGTAATTTTGTCCTTGTTTATAAAGAGTTCATTAAAGAAATAAAATTAAGATAACTAAATTATGTAATTATTTTCACATTTTAAATTTGATTACAATATAATATAATTTATACGGTTTAGGAGGCGTGGGAATTTTTAAAACGGTGAGGTCGTGTGGGCCTGCAGCGCTGCAAAAAGGTTAAGAGTCCCTGGACTAAGATCCCCCCACCTCCACCAGTCAACCATTTTTTTTCGTTTCATCCCATTTTACATGGCATGGTAGCAGTGATTCTTTCAGAAATTTTCCCGGGGGGGGGGGGGGGCGTTTTTAGTTTTAGTGGTAGGGCATGGTAGCCCAATTCTGACTCCCATCTCCACATTTTAACATAAATTTTCTCACTGTCAATGTCACTACACCTATTTTCTCTTACTCTTACTAGTCTTTCGCTTCTTAATTTAAATCTTAGACTTAAATACTTAAAATAGTCACTTACGACAGGTAAACTTAAATACTTAATATAGTCACTTAAGACAGGTACTTACTGTTTTAGTTTTACCCTGGGCCTGGGTGCGCTGCAGCTGGGCGGTTGCCATAAATAAGTCAAGTAATGGAAATAATCCTTTTAAACAACAGTAAAATAAGTATAGACCTTATTTTGATACAGACTATGGGTAAATTATTTTTACAATCGTAATTCTTTTCAATCGTGGTTGTGCTTTTGTACCGAAACAAAAGTTTTGTATTTATTGATTCATATCTAGCAGACGATTGACATTTAGGGCAGATTTCATCAACTTTTTTTATTTCGTTACTGTCTAAATTCTAATAACAACAAATAATATTTAATTGAAAACTGATAAATATACTGTATATAATATTAATTATGGTATACTATTTACATGCGAAAATTGCAATAAATAACTAAAATATACATATATTCATCAAAGGTGTTAATGTATTTTGAAGAATGCCAAATGGTCATGCAAGGTAGTGAAATTACTTAAATTACCATATAATTTTAACATGGCTTTCCCAAATATTTATTTTTAGGTGTTAAATAATAAATATAAATCATCAAATCCCATACGTTAATTATTACCATTATTTGGTTTAACATTATTATTGTAATTTTTATAATGATCAGAAATTAATTATTTAACATTTACTACCTTTTTTTATTCGGTAAAATTAAAACGGAAGATGCTGATTTTTCTTTTTCTGCTACTCTGGACATCGTTGGTTGCCAACAACAAATGCTATTGAGGGTTCATTCAATTTTGACGACTTTGCCAGCTTAATTTAAATATTTATTTTGTAAATATTCGTTAATTATCAAATTCAGGTAAGCTTTATCATTCAATATGTTAAAATATACATAACAAGTTGATATAATTTTTAAAGAGATATATTTCAATGATTATGATTACGGGACACACGAGGAAAGTTTATTAGAGATAGACTGATAGATTATTTTTAAAAAAAAAATAATTCGTCATTTTATTTACCCTTAGTTATATCAGGATCATCACTTAGCAGCATTACTCTACTATCCACATTCATATATCATATATTCAATGATTGTCAGTATGAATCAGTCATTCAGAGTAATCCTGATCCTCAATGTCTTCCATCCTATGTAATGACTCATCCAATGACATCAATGAGTGGTTGACTTCGCCTAATAATTAACATGTATTATCATGTAAAAGAACTTTGTATAAACTATAATACAGCATAGGCCAATATGTATGAGTATGTAACATACTATACATATTAGCCTATGCTACATTATACAAACTTTATTTACAATCATAACTTACTGTGACTGAAAGTAATGTGTGATTCAATGATTACTTAACTGAATTTAGCATTTTTAATCATTTAGTAATTTAGGACATAATTTATTGAATGTTTAAAAAGGTATTTAAGCTTTTTAACACATACTGATTGGTATTAGTCAAACAGCGTGGGTAGCAGCATCACCCTGTAATGTAATTTAAGTGACATGTACAGAAATCAATCAACACTGATGACAGCTTAATTATGCAAATTTTGATGCTCCAGGTTATTTGCAGAGGTCATCGTAATCATTCTTTACTCAAAGAGTGGGTCAAAGGCTTTTTCGTCAATTTATGAAATGGGCAGAATATTGAGATACCTAATAATAGGTTGACCATAGTATAGTTAGGGATGGACTCTCTGCTATAATGATATACCAGAGTTTTGTGTATCACTTACTGATTGTGTTAATATATTATTAAGGGACCATCCATATATATATATAAGAATGAGTTAGAGTGACATAATGCCAAAGAACCGATACAATTTAAGTAGGTTCAGATTCCTAAAAACATTCATAGTTATTTTCTTTTTTTTTAACGGAAATCAAATAAATTTAAAAGCGCCAAAAATATTATAAATCTGCTTTTATTTTAGTAAAAGTTTAAGTATTATTATTATAATTTACAAATACATTTAAAGTATCAAATAAGGAATTATTTTAAGCATTTTATCCGAATGTTAAAGTTATGAAAAAAAATATTAGTTAAAATATTATGATCTTGCATCTTAATCAGAGTTATCGGGAAAATCCAAACATCTGTTAAAATTAGTGCGTATTTTAGTGCGTTGTTAATATTGGGAAATAAAAATAAAATTTATTTGATCTAAATAATTAAGCAAATGACATCATAGGCAATTGTATATTTTAGGCACAGCTCTAAGTTTCTATGATTTTATAACAGTGAGTAACAAAACTGATGGTATATTTTCTCCTCCTTAAAAGTAAAATTAATAAAAATAATAGATAACTTTTTAAATGCAGCCTCAGTTAGTTTTATTTATATCAACAAGTTTATGTTGACAAGGTCGTCTCACAGATGGCGTTGCATGTTGCTTATCCTATATGGACGATGCAAGCACCTCTAGATCTAGTGCCATCATTCGAGAAATACCAGACTTCACAAGTGGTATGGGGCTGCAACTATTTAAGCAGCGCCATGTGGAAGAATCAGGCAGTTCCCATATAAATAGCAATCTGATAAGACGATTCTTTCTAAACGTAATACGAACAACAAGTGCAAGTTAGTAATGTTTTGAAGTGTTTACTACGAGTATATAGGGCTTGAAGTATACAGTGATGTGTACTTCGATGACTAAAGTGTTATTTTTGACTGTTTACCATCTAATAAACTTATCGTATCATAGCTTATGAAAATGCCTAATGCTGGAAAGAGAAAATGTCACTTTTTGGATGATAACACAAAAGAGTGATTTTTTGTCAAGAAAGGGCATATAGATCAGCAAGCGTTATGTGAGATTTGTAGCTGTGTCATCTCAGTAACTCACGGAGGTAAGGTATATAGGAGACATCACTTTTCTATGAAGAATCATACAAATAGATTCACGGTAGCATTGACATCAAAGCCTATTTCTACATTCATGATTAAAGAAAATACCCAGGAAGAAAAGCTCGTTGCTGCTGCAGAACTAACAACAGCTTATAAAGAAATCAAAGCATCATCAATCCTTCTGTTCTCTTGACTGTACCGTAAAACTGAATGCTGCAATGTATCGTGACCCCAAAGCTACAGCGATTGTTAAAAATATTCTCGCACCACACTCCGTGTCCGAATGCATAAAACAATTGCAAGAAGTTTCATTTTATGGCATAGGCGCTGACGCGTCAAACCACAAGGCTAAAAAGATGTTTCCTTTAGTTGTTCAATACTTGACTGGAACTGACGGAATCCAACATAAGCTGTTGAAATTTGATTCGCCGAATAACAAAAAATCAGAGAAAATTGCAAAGTTTTGTCTAGCCACTTTAAAACAACTCCAAATTTCTTTAGATAAATTAATCGTTTTTATGGAGACAATATCAATACCAAATTCTGAGGGCTTCATCAACACGGCCGGTGAAATGTGTTTCATCAAATTAAAGAAGAGCTAGGAAAAAATGTAGAAGGAATTGGATGACCAGCCCATATCCTCCACAATACTATATCAAGCATTGCTGGAGTCTGTCGACATTGAAATAATCGTCATGAAATATTTAATTATTTTTCAATATACACAGTAAGGAAAGTGAAGCTGAAAGAGTTCTGCTTATACATTGATGTCAATCATCAGACTCTTCTATCTCACTCAAAAACAAGATGGCTGTCGTTAATGCCACAGTTGAGGGAATTTTTAAGCTTTGGATTCCATTAAAACATTTTTTTGACGCCGAAGTCAGGCCACCTAAAATAATTTCAGATTTTTTCAGTAGTTCGATCAGTGACATTTACTTCATGTTTCTGCAGTAAAACTTGGCTCTGTTTGAAAAAAATAGAATAAGCATGGAGATAATTCTAGATAATTGAAATAAGAAAAATATTAATCGACACTCAAAAATGTCTGAATGAAAGGAAGACAGCCAATTTTCTTGGCATGCAAACCAAGATGAATTTGAATAAATTAAAGAATGAGAACCCTAACCAAGCAATGATTAATTTGATTTCGAAATTTGAGGAAGAGGCAATGGCTTTCTAAAGCCATAGCATTTGATTACCTACAGAAATAGGCTATTTCTTTTATTAAATATCAAGTATTTGATTGGATAATGCTATCTGAGACCCCAGTTTGGGTGATGATTGAAAAAACTTTTATATACCTGACTAAAAATGGTGTGAAGATTTCAGGCAACAATTGTTTTCAGCAATATCTGAAGAGCTTTTTATATTTACTTTCTTAAGGAAACTGAAAGTCCTGAATGCAAATGCCAACTGCTTAAATTATGCGAGTATTTGTTTTCTATCCGCGCACACAATGCCATTGTGGAAAGAGTATTTTCGCTGATGTCGGCCTAGTAGAATGATGAAAGAAATCGACTGCTGCCACAGACTGTGGAATCAATTTTACAGTGCCAGTTTAACTACAAGCTGACTTGCATGGAGTTTTATAAATACATATAAGGGAAAAAAGACTTGCTGAAAAAGGGTAAATCATAGAAAAATATGGTGTACCGACTAATTTTGCCGCAACAAGTTCCATGTAATTGTAAAAAAAAAGTAATTATATTAAATGATTTGTTTACTTCATTCCTACACCCCCATCTCAGTGTGTCTCTGCCAGGTCCCAGCTAAATATGGCAACCGTAAGCATAGCCAGTACGAGTGTACATTTACCCATATTGTATCTTTATTATTATTTGAAAATCTTTGGTTTACCTGAACTAAATGATAATATACATATACATTCTGATGAGAGTGCTCCCCATATGCAAAATCTCATAAATCAAAACACCCCCCCCCCTCCCGGTGCATACATAATATATGGATTGTCCTATAATGTTATGTGGTAAAGTCAGAAAAACGAAAAGACCAGCAAAATATCAGGCCTATTCTTTACCGTGTACCGGAAATGTTTTTGTTACTTTTTATCATATGTATTTTGTTTAGGTGCTGGTATATGAGTGAGTGCATTTTTCTATTAAGTTTGACTCAGCCAGGTTTCATGTAAAGTGTGTGATTTTTTATTTGTCAGGGGAGAGAATGTTTTTGAATGCAAAGAGATGATTTAGAACGACGTATTAGAGATGAGTTTTTGAAAAGTCATGATTTTTTTTTAAATTTTGAAAAATAGATTTTTTTGTGAAGGATTAGAAACAGTTTGATTTTACATATTTGTGCATGCAAACCATCACGAATTAAAGATATCTGTAGAAACATTCAACACCTTGTGCTTATTTACTACTCGTAGTCAACTTTGTTAAAAACTACCTATACAGCTCTGTTGTCTTTTTTCTGTGGCAGACTAGAAGGGAACCCAACTCAGACAATATATATATATATATATATATATATATATATATATCTGAATTATGATTTAATTTTAAGAACTATAGTTTTCTTATCAAAATAATATTAATACCAATGACGCATGGGGCAAACAGCACAGATAATTTTTCTATCAACATTGAAATGGGACAGTGCTAGCATCAAATTTATTAGGTGGCATGGGAAAATCCATGTGCTGATTACTTACATTGGCTCATTGCGCCTGTGTCTAATTTTTTAGTTCAATTTAAAGTTTACATGGAATTGAAACTCAAGATGAATGGCTTTATAGGTCACTGTGTGTTATTTTAATTATTTACATCAATATTTCTCGCTGGATCACAAATCTGAGTTAGGACAGTAACTAAGGGCACTATTTTAGGGAATGCCACTTAACCTCCCACTTTTTTTCCCCACGCTTTACTGTGACGGAATATGTAGTGATGAAATTTATGATGAAAATATTCTTGTTTCTCCATTGACGAAATTAAATATTAAATGTACAATGGTGTTTATTAGCATCTTACACAAAAATATAGCCACTTCTAAATTTATGTTTTTAAAATATCTATTTGTAGCTCTCCAAAATGCCTACATCAGCAGCAAAAATGGACGAGCCTTATTACTGCTCACAGCAGATTAACATTCCCCCTGAACTACCTGACATTCTCAAGCAGTTCACCAAGGCAGCCATAAGAACACAACCGAAGGATGTTTTAGCCTGGTCTGCTGCGTAAGTTATTTATTTTTGCATATCATTAGGAAATTTTATTTTGAAATTAAATATTTTAGGCCAATAAGTTTCCTAGGAGGGGAGTACATTTTTCAAAGCACAAGATATAGCTACTTTTTACATAAAGGAACATTTATTTTTTTTAACTTTCTATATTTTTTTAATATTGTGCCAAAGATGATTTCCTTTCATTCTGTAGCTATTTCCGGGCAATGTCTAAAGGGGAAATCCCACCAGTGAAGGAGAGGCTTGAAATGCCTGTAGCTACACAAAAGATCGACAGCGGGCTCACACAAGGATTACTCAGGGTACTAAATAAGCAGGTACTTTAGTTTATTACAAACACTTTTTAAATTATTATTCCAACCAAATGGATGTATAATAGGAAGGCAATGAAACTCTACGCTGTGATAAATTAAATCATGCATAATTATTTTTAAGTCCATCTTGCTATTATAAAACTCAACTTGTTTTATTTAAAATTTCCTTCTCTGTGCTTTGTTGATAATTTTTCAAACCATTACCTCCTTTTTATTTGGTATTTCAGTTGGGCCCTAAGATCAATGTTACATCTTTCCAAGTGGAAGAGAAATGGCTTGACCTTGCACTTCCCATTGAGCAGTTTCATGATATCATGAGGGTTGGAAATTTTTCTTCCAGTTTTGAATGGAACAAATTTTTTTCATTGGCTGCATCCACTCTTGGGGATGTAAGCATAAGCCTATTTTTTTACACCTCAATTTTATTTAATGTGTTTACAGCACAGATTTTTGGTACATGACTGCCATTATAAATCTTAATTTGGCTGTCATAAGTTGTTTTTTTATTCTCATGCAATATTCTGAGATGTACTAACACTTGTAATGTCAAAATGCAAGTTCATACTTTAACAAAAATACTTGCAATTGCCTTTGAAAAGTGTTATTTGAAGTCCTATTTTGGTTTCATAAGCTGTCACATAGTTGCTTATACAACATCTCTTGTTAGCCATCTACTTATTTTTAATTAATTTTTATTTAAACTTAATTTTGGCATACACTTTAATAAAAAAAATACTTTAATTTATTATTTACATGCTATGTAATTTTACATTAACTAGAAATAACTTGTTAAAGTGATGGAAATAAAAATAATTAAATTTTCTTTAAAAATTTTACAAATTATGCAATATATTGCCTACACATTTAATTTAAGGAGTAAAAGACATAATTCAAACCTGGTCTCAAATGCCTGGCAGGGTTTCATACAGTGTCTCTGGTTTTTCATTTTTATTTTACTTAGTTTACATGTTTTTAATAATTGTAAAGCGCTTAGAGTTTTAAGGTTAGCGCTATATAAAATTGCCTAATTAAATAAATAAATATAAAATTAAACTCTGAAATAAATAAATAAATATAAAATTAAACTCAGTATGGTGTGACATGAGAAGGAAGAATTTCCTATGTCACCATGGAGTCACCAGCCTACATCATATTTATTGCTACCCATCACTACATGGCCATACAGTGTTTTAGTATCCATGATAACTGTGTCCTTACAGAACATCACCGAGGCAATGAAAACCATTTGTGAGATCCTAACAAGTGATCCAGAGGGTGGCCCAGCGAGAATACCATTCAAACTCTTCCAAGAACTGTACTGTTTTCTGGCTGAGGTAGATGGTGAGATTTCTAACCAACAAATAACAGATGTCATCACTCACCTTCAGTATGACGTGTGAGTTCTTTTTTTTCCAAGTAGTTGTGAAATTTCTTTTAAATATTTGATTTAAAAATAAATCTCTACTTTGATCTATTATGAATGTATAATGTACATTGTGGCTGTGTGGCAAAGCTTGTAAGACACAAAGAGACCAAAAAAATCAAGTTCAGAAACATGCAAGCCCCACCAATACCTAGATTAATAGACAGTATGAAAAAAGACTTCAGGTAGATGGGCAACTGTGAACCACAGTTGGTGGCTTAAGTTAGAGAAGCAAAACTTATGAAAACAATCCATTCCTGCCTTTTGGCTCCAAACCAATTTCATGGTTAAACGCTAAAAGGGTAAACTCCAAAAGAAAAATCAGGAGTTGGAGTCCCACAGGCACTCTGATTAAGCTTCATAGTTTTGCCTGACACCTCTACCAGGCTTACGTCATTGTCTCTTATTGACCTATTTTATATATACAAAGATTATATCTCCTACAAATGATTGTTGCTGAGGATGCATTTTATTTTTAGAGAGCCAAGAGTTCACTAAAATACATGTCATTCACTTCATATAATATGATTTCACTAAGAAAATATTTTTTTAAAATGATGTCCTCAGAATACTGAAATTTAAGAACTGCTCTCCATGAGAATGTATTTATCTTTTATGAAATCAAATATTTTAAAATAGTAAATTATTGCCCTTGAGTTTATCAAAGTAAAAAGCCAAAGTCTTAACTCGCCCAAATTAAAGTAAACATATAATTAATTCTAAACTTACCAAAGTTCAAGTAAATATATAATTAATAATTTAAAAAAGTAAGTTAATATTAAAAAAATTATTTTCTACAAATTTAAAGAGCACTTTTCAATTCTTATCCACAGAGACAAACAAGATGGCTTTGTGATGCCCCGAAATTTTCTCAGTGGCGACTGCCCCCAACTGTCATAACCTGTTGATGGCATAAATCTGTTTGGCTCATTCTCACCATTGTGTATTTATTATTCATCACATTTCAGTTGTTGCTTTTTTTTTAAATTTTTTTTTTACTCAAATGAGTTTCACTTTTTCTGAAAACTGGCTAAATTTAGATCTCCACAAACAAAGGCTTTGAAAGTTTTAAGTCTTTATGAAATGTGGAAGATGAAACATAAGCCAATAGCCACCTGATGCAAAACAATTTCATCTGAAGCCTACCAACTGGTTAAATTATTTATGAAGAGATCCGACTGTGTCATGTCATCTTTATATCTCCGGTCTTAACTCATTACACCTACCGTCCCAGATTATAAATCATAGTAGATCCATAATCCTAGCCTCATCTTTATCTCAAGCCAGCCCCCCCCCCCCAAGTGGCAGCTTTGATCAAATATAAAGTCATTCGTAAATCCACTTCTTGTTCGTTAAATCAACAATATCCTCAAAAATTGGTCATTGTGCCGTGAGTTCTCATGTGAAATACTCATAGAAGTTGGAACTGGAGATGCACAAAGTAATTATTTCCTATTTGATTTGTGTGATGGGTTGCTCAATGTGAATGCATAGCTTGCTACAACTGTAATGGAATGGTCAAGTCAATGAATCTTTATTCTTGAAGATTAAACCCAACACTTTTTGAGCTTTATGCAATCGGTAATGTGTCCAAGGATTTTATGCATTCTGTAATGTGTCCAAGGATTTTGTGCTTTCTGTAATGTGTCCATGGATTTTATGCAATCTTTGATTAAATAATAGTGCCATCAGCTCTCTAGGCACAGTGCGGGCCACCAGCTGACAAAAAGACACATGATAAAGTATGGACTAGCATTTACTAAATACAAAACCGCACACACCAAAATTCTTTTAAGTTCAGCCCAGCCCAGCCTTCTATGGACAGTTGACCAGCTCCAGGTTGAATTCTTTAGTTTTCTTTTAGAATACACGCTGCATTATTATGTACTTAATGATGTTGAAAAAAATGAGGCAGTTTATCAACATTTGTGATCCTTGTAATATCAATACAGTTGTGTTGTTGTTTTTTTTTTTGTGTGGTTCAAATGTTATATTACTTGTGATGTTTTCTCTGCTAAATCAAATTCTACCACTCCATTTGGTGATGACCTTCTTCTATTTAGGATTAACTTGAACTAAAAAAAAAATAGAAGTTAATAATTTTTAACAATTTTTTTCCTAATTTTTTTTTTTTTTTGTGTGGTTCAAATGTTATATTTCTTGTGATGTTTTCTCTGCTAAATCAAATTCTACCACTCCATTTGGTGATGACCTTCTTCTATTTAGGATTAACTTGAACTAAAAAAAAAAAAAAGAAGTGAATAGTTGTTAACAATTTTTTTCCTACACTTATTTAAGGAGACTTAATTTAAGTAGTATCGTGGAAAATTCCCAGTAGTAATGGCCTAAGCAAGTTATTTTTGAACTTGCAAGACCTCCAGTTGACTTTTTTTTTTACTGCATGTTTCTTCCTCACCTTAATAGTCTGACCAGGCTGCCAGACAGATAGTAACATTAAATTGTTGAGATTAAATATTTTTCACACATGCATTATTACAGCCTCTAAAACATCTCAGATTTGTTGTGTTCTACTGCTATTTAATTAATAAAAACTTCAGTAAGCCAAACATTTTAAAAGATTTTTAGTGTTAACTCACTGTTATTATATAAGAATAAAAAAAAAAAAACTGCAATGTTGCATATTTAAAATAGATAACTATTGACTGCTGGCTTGGTGGTTTTTTTTTGGTCTGAAGGCATGACGTGTATGGATGGGGAGTAGTTTTTGTATCATTGAAACCTAAATGTTTCTGATTTCCACTACTACAAGCAATATTTATCCCCCACCCATCAACACTGCGTGTGGATATCACCTTTACAAAAAGATCATGATATCACCTTTACAAAAAGTACATGATATCACCTTTACAAAAAGATCATGATATCACCTTTACAAAAAGAAAATGATTTCACCTTTACAAAAAGATCATGATATCACCTTTACAAAAAGATCATGATATCACCTTTACAAAAAGATCATGATATCACCTTTACAAAAAGATCATGATATCACCTTTGCAAAAAGATCATGATATCACCTTTACAAAAAGATCATGATATCACCTTTACAAAAAGATCATGATATCACCATTACAAAAAGATCGCAAAATCACCATTACAAAAAGATCTGTGTTTGATGTTCTTTTATAGACGAATGTATCCTTGCTGAAATGTTGCATGTTTCTTCTGAAGGCAATAAATTAAAACTGATCAAATGAAAGGTTTCTGTTCCATGTTAACATTTTTTTACTTTGATGTATGCAACTTTGTGAGTTTTGTTTTGTTAGATGTAAATGATACGTCAATGCTATATGGATAGCAAACTATGGATATGTTGATACGTGAGTCAGACAGATTGGTTAGTTGGTTACATACGTTAGCCAGACAGATTGGTTAGTTGGTTACATACGTTAGCCAGAGGGATTGGTTAGTTGGTTACATACGTTAGCCAGACAGACTGGTTAGTTGGTTACATACGTGAGCCAGACAGATTGGTTAGTTGGTTACGCACGTTAGCCAGACAGACTGGTTAGTTGGTTACGCACGTTAGCCAGACACACTGGTTAGTTGCGTTACATACGTGAGCCAGACAGATTGGTTAGTTGGCTACACACGTTAGCCAGACAGACTGGTTAGTTGGTTACATACGTGAGCCAGACAGATTGGTTAGTTGGTTACACACGTTAGCCAAACAGAATAGTTAGTTGGTTACACACGTTAGCCAGACAGATTGGTTAGTTGGTTACACACGTTAGCAAGACTTATTGGTTAGTTGGTTATATTAATAGCCAGAAGGGCCGTCGCCTGTCACAGACAGGTGTCATTCATGACAGATGTGTCATTTATCAGAATGATGTCAATGATAACAGAAGATGTCATCGATCACTAAGAGGTGTCATTTATCTGAGAGATTTCTTTAATCAGAGAGATGTCACTGAGAGATGGCATTCATCACATAAAGTTATTATTGCTCAGAGAGGTATCATTGATCACTTAGAAATGTCATTGATCACTAAGAGGTATCATTGATAAAATGTTTTCATTTATCTAAGAGTTATCATTTCACATAGAAGTTTCTTTGATCAGAGATATGTCATTGATCACTGGGAAGTTGCTTTAATCAGAGGGATATCATTGATCACAGAGAAGTTACGTAGAAATAGCTGGGAATCAGGCAGAGAAGCAGAGACTGGTAATCAATACTATCAAGACACCCTGTTTCAGATACTAGCCCAAGTATTACCAAATACTTTATCGATCTTTCAATCCAGTGACCTAATTCTAGTACACGACCGATCACGTGATTGCTGACACTATGAAACCAATAATAACAAGTGACCCATATCCCCATATCTTTTTTTTTTTACTATCGTTTACAAATTTGTTTAATCCCTTATTTTATTTATTTATGTTTATATTTTTTTTGTTGTTGTTGTTGGGGTAAACAGGTGCAACCTCGAGTAATAGTAATCATGGTATGCTTGTTCATTGCTTAAATTGACAATCGCTTTTAAATCATTTTAATCCGATGGGAAAAGTTCCTTTGTTTCCCATGGTTTCGTGTCCTTTGGCTTCCATGGTTTCGTGTCCTTTGTTTCCCATGGTTTCGTGTCCTTTGTTTCCCATGGTTTCGTGTCCTTTGTTTCCCATGGTTTCGTGAATGCATTCGGTACACCGTTCGATAAAACAGCGCTGACTTGTTTTTACTTATGAGATCATTTTTTTTAAAAATCGACTTCAGTTTGATGGGAGTATTTTGTTATACAAATATGTCTATACTGTAATGTAAATTGTTCGGGTACATAGTTATATTTTTAACTAACTGCTGGATGTGGGGACAGGCGTGAGAGGTTTCCCCAGATTTTGGTGGGTTTTTTTTTTTTTGGTTTTTTTTTTTTTTAACCCTCATTAACATACTAAAATGGCTAAAATAAGATTTGTATGAAATACCTTCCACGTATCCAACAAATCGATTATATTGGGATGACCAACTCCCACTTGCCCGTTACAGATCTTCAGTGAATTCCTACTTCCTGTTCCCCTCTAGGGCATTTTGGGTTTCTCCCCTGGTGTCTGGATGTAATGTAAATTGTTCGGGTACATAGTTATATTTTTAACTAACTGCTGGATGTGGGGACAGGCGTGAGAGGTTTCCCCAGATTTTGGTGGGTTTTTTTTTTTTTGGTTTTTTTTTTTGTAACCCTCATTAACATACTAAAATGGCTAAAATAAGATTTGTATGAAATACCTTCCACGTATCCAACAAATCGATTATATTGGGATGACCAACTCCCACTTGCACGTTACAGATCTGCAGTGAATTCCTACTTCCTGTTCCCCTCTAGGGCATTTTGGGTTTCTCCCCTGGTGTCTGGATAAAGCACACAACCTTTCCAAATTCTACAGCTTTGTTTTAAAAATATAGTTTTTACCTCATCAGTTGTTAATTTCATGATGAAATTGATCATGCATGATAAATTTCTGAAGAAGTAAAACTTTAAAACACATCTCCTCTACTCAGCCATATCCAATACATTTGTAATATTATTAAGCTCTTCGAATAGCGACTTAGAGTCTCGAATTAGAGTCATCACAATGCAGTGATGGACTGGACTGGTCAAGCCATGCAGTGGTAGACTGGGGTGGTCAAGTTATGCAGTGGTAGACTTGCGTGGGCAAGCCATACAGTGGAAGACTGGAGTGACCAAGCCATACAGTGGTAGACTGGAGTGACCAGGCCATACAGTGAGGAACTGGAGTGGCCAAGTCATGAATTGGTGAATAAGGGTGGCCAAGCCATGCAGTGATGAACTGGAGTGGCCAAGTCATGCAGTGGTAGACTGGAGTGGTCAAGTCATGCAGTGGTAGACTGGAGTGACCAAGCCATACAGTGATGAAATGGAGTGGCCAAGTCATGCAGTGGTAGACTGGAGTGGTCAAGTCATGCAGTGGTAGACTTGCATGGGCAAGCCATGCAGTGGTAGACTGGAGTGACCAAGCCATACAGTGATGAAATGGAGTGGCCAAGCCATGCAGTGGTAGACTCGAGTGGCCAAGTCATGAATTGGTGAATTGGAGTGGCCAAGTCATGCAGTGGTAGACTGGAGTGGTCAAGTTATGCAGTGGTAGATGGCAGCATTTATCAAATGTTGTAATTTGATTATCTTTAAGTTTTATCTTTCAGGAAATAAAATAATTCATTATTGTTTAGTAGTTTGAAATACATTACATGACAAGTATAATTGTTTTAACTGTTGCCTTGACAAGATAGACCTATGCCGGCCCGGGTGGCCTATGCCGGCCCGGGTGGCCTTTAAGTTTTACACCCTACCTGCCAGCTTGGTTGGTTTTTTAAGTTTTACACCCTACCTGCCAGCTTGGTTGGTTTTTTAAGTTTTACACCCTACCTGCCAGCTTGGTTGGTTTTTTTAAGATTTACACCCTGCTTGCCGGCCTGGGCGGCCTTTAAACTTTAATTAAGCTTTACACTCTACCTGCCGGCCTGGGCGGCCTTTAAACTTTAATTAAGCTTTACACTCTACCTGCCGGCCTGGGCGGCCTTTAAACTTTAATTAAGCTTTACACTCTACCTGCCGGCCTGGGCGGCCTTTAAACTTTAATTAAGCTTTGCAACTTACCTGCCGACCATGGTCAGATTACCCGCAGCTTTTTATTCGCAGATATAATTTATAAAATGAAAAGAAGCTTTCTGACCCCTGATTTAAACATTTGTTTCTAGCGCTATTAGCCGCACATTGGCTTTTTTATAATTATTATTATTGAGCATGCACTGAAGTAGAGATTAAATACGCAAGCATCACTGAATTGTAGAAAGGTCACCGACTGCCCACAACTCACTGACAGAAGCGGCCTAGACTGCCCACAACTCACTGACAGAAGCGGTCCAGGCTGCCCACAACTCACTGACAGAGACGGCCCAAACTGCCCAAATCTCACCAACAGAAGCGGCCTAGACTGCCCACAACTCACTGACAGAAGCGGTCCAGGCTGCCCAAATCTCACCGAGAGAAGCGGCCCTGACTGCCCAAAACTCACTGATATAACGGCCAAGGTGGCCCAAATATCACCGTTCCACCGGGTTTTTTTTTTCCCTGGTGTCCGGGCGTGCCAGTCCACCACTTCATTTATGCTAAAGAATTATTATTTTTCGGATAATTTTAGGGTTTCAAAACCGGTCTATGGACAAACTGTATCGTCTGTAAAAAAAAATCGCCACATGACGTCAAGAAAGGGGCTAAATAACCATTTATGGTTGGGAAAAAAAAGATATTTTATTTTTAGATCAATGGCGTCATAAATATAGGTCTACCTTGGTTTTTTTCTGCCTGTGGCGGGAATTTCAAAAGTACTTTCAGTATCATCACTAAGGAAGCAGCAATCGAAAAAGAACTTGAGGGAACACAATGAAATGAATAGGCTACATTTGTTTTGATTTGCATTGTTTGTCTACATTTAAAATCACACTTCCCCTTTTAGTGTTGCTGTAACATTAATTTAAAAGCGGCACTTTTTTTTAAACTGATGCGTAAGTATAAGACGCATGTGAAATAAATTATACAGGACGGTTTAGGCTTGGGTTGTAGTAATGATGTGCAACAAGGGGTTTAGCGGAATAACAGATAGAGCGTGTTGTGAGGGAAAAAAAAGGGGGGGGGGAGGAAGGGTATCGCGGTTATTTTAATTAAGTACCAATGTTGTGTTCAATGCACATTTTAAAAAAAGTTCAGATTGAATGGACCCCCCCCGCATAAACTGAACAAGACCACAGCAGAATGGAGTACTGTGCGGGGGGGGGGGGGGGGGGGGTCGACGCCGGAAATAATGGCGCTTGTTACGAGCGCCCATCCAGACAGGCAAGGGAGACAACGCAACGATGGCTCGCGGTTCTTTTCAATCTGAGACTGGATGAAAGGACACGTCAAATTTCCAAAAGAGAATATTTAGATAGTTAGAGTGTTACAGGCGAACTGAGGGAGGCGAGTGAAGGCGTGTGGTCTCATGGGGTTGCGGTCCGATTGATTTCTTTTGGAAAGTATGTGGGAAAGTCTTGGGAAGTGAAATATTTTTTGCTTAAATGCACCCGATCGTCATTGGGTGATTCTTCTTTTGACTTGATCCTCCACACTCCAATTTGTTCCTGTCACACCCCATATAGTACCGGTGACTTGCTCCCAACACAAGTGTTTCTAT